GCATAGAAAAAATTGTTAGATTATCACTCCCACCCACGTCAAAAATTTGGGAAGTATTGATTAGGGAATAATAAAAAAATATTTTTGCCGCATCATTTATTTCAAAACAGCATAAAAAAACAATGCAATTTTGCCACTGGAAATACATTTTCTTTAAAAAAAAACAATAAAAATTAAACCAGTTTTTTACAATATTTACAATATTCTTGCCATTAAAACCAGTCCCTCCTTCATTGATAACAAAAAGCAATATTCTATAGTTCAGATTAAAAACAAAAATATATAAGTGTCCGCCCTCATCACAAAAAAAAAGAAAAAAAAGAATGATAATCTAATAATCTTTTTCTTTGTGCCCTTAAAAGTGATGTACAGTAGTACCTGTACAGTACTGTAATTTAAATTTCTCCATCTTTAGCATATCAATTTAACAGCCTATTTATAACATTCAAGTACCTGAACAAATTCTTGTCTTGTTGCGAACAATAAAGTTCAAAGGAATAAGGCCTATTATATAAACTATGGATGATAAGAGCTCAAGAATATGCTGTATTACTACTGTAGTCAGAAGCCATTATTTTCATCATTAGAATACCATTTGAAAAATGACATAACTCATAATATGCAGATGGTTCATAATCAACTACTCAAAAGCTAAATTTTTTATGACAAATTAATGTCATTTTGGAGTAAATGTCATAACAATTATAGTACTAAAGGTAAAAATTATTGTAAAAAATTTACAAAATAACAGATTTGCTTCTTTTACCAAGAAGTGCTTTTTCTACAAGACCAAGTTACGCACTGTATTCTGCCACAGATTTAATGCTTTTTTAATGACTTACTGACACCTTAACCATATTCATGGAACTGGTTTTAACAAACACTATATTACGCATAAAATGGCATACAGGACAACATTGGAATGTCTAGGAAGGGAAAACACTTTCTGTAGAGACGGCGCATTAGGAAACAATTCCATTAGAAAGAAATCGGTATGTAGTGATACGTTAGCAACACAAGAATTTTATCACAGATTCTTGTTGTTATGGAGCACTAAATATAAACCGACATCATAACTTGTCAAAATATCACAGTTTGATTGCTTATGCAATAAGTAGTCCAAATCAAGTTAAAAGAAAATGCATTTAAAATTATTTCTAACAAGCAGAAATTGGAAAAATCTTTTATCAAGCTAAATATTACTGTACAAGTAAAATAAAGAAACATACAGGAGGCTTAAGATTGGTATGGTAACTGACCGGTGAAACAAAGCGATCAATTCGACATAGATAACAACAATGAAAATAATGATGAACACTAGGTAATCAACAAAAGCCTTAAGGGTGTACAAAGAACAAGACACAAAAGCCAAAAAGGTGTTACACCTTAAGAGGTCACAAGGGTGTAGCAATGATAATACATAGGTTTTATTTCCATATATGATATAGTAACTTAATTGTTGGAATGCAACATTTTGCTAATAATAATAATAATAATAATAATAATAATAATAATAATAATAATAATAATAATACATATTAAAAATTTGGTTTGTTATGTAGTTATAATAAAAATTAGCATTATTATTATTGTTGTTATTAGCCATTCTTGGCTAGAATATTTGGTAACCAGTGACCAACACCTTAAAGACCAATGAATGTAAATTACTATATATCATTATTATTACTTACTTTATCAAATAAACAATTCAGCAGTTTGAGAAAAACTCAATTAGGATTTGAACCTAAGATCCTCTTATTACTGTTTGTTTACTCATAGCTATCAAGCTATAATAAAGGAAGGCCTATATAATCTATATTGTAACTAAGTTACAGTACCAAAGAAAATAATATTTACAATAATTGAGGATAATTGGATACCTAGTGTTTCTATTATTTCAGCACTTCACATCTCAATATTATTATATGTATGGGAGTATCTACAGTTAAACTTGCCTAAGGCAACTTTGCCTAACTCAAATAATTTCTAAGTCAATCTTATTTTACATGCCAAATAGTTGTGTTTTCAATTAATTAACAATCTGTAAGTCAAATTTTATCTAAGTCAAACAATTTTGCAATGGCATTTAGGATTTGTCTTAGGCAACTAGCATAACTTAATGACTAATCATAAAAATTAATAACATAATAATATTTCTTTAAATGACAAAAGTATTCATCATATAATAAACAATAATAGCAGTAGCAGTATTGAAGTATTCAAATCTGTAGAAAATTTTTTAAAAACCTCAAAATGTTTCCTTACTGATATCATCATGAAGAAGGTTTTTGCCTAAATAGATTATATTATATTGCACTTGCAGCAAAGAAAATCTATTACTATTAATTACTAAAATGTTAAAAATTCTTCCTACCATTCTTGCAATAAACGGTGCAGTAAGCTCTCGTTTTGACTGCTTTGACACTAAATTGCCCTTCTCCTGGGCTGGGGGTAATGACAGGGACATATCTGAAGGCTGGTTACTCCTTTGCATCGGCTGAACATACACTTTTAATTTCCGACTCATGGTTGGCTGCTAACATGCTAAAGACCACACATTTATAATGGTCTTTAGTATACTTTCAGGCAAGTAATAGGCTTCCATTTGTAAGCTTTAAGTCTAAATTCTATAACGTTGTATTGGACTGCATTAACATTTGCAGTATAATGTTTGCAAGTTACTACTGTAATCTCCCAACAAGTCCTACTGTTCTGTAAATGTACAAAATCATGGACTAGTTGCCTGGCATTCGAATCCTTTATCCACTGTAACCAATAATCACACATTACAATAATTCACCCATGGTATAATGCACTCACCCATCTAGCAACTGACCAATCAAAAGTGAACAATTGAAACATCTTAATCTTTCTGTGTTAAAACTTTCTGATACTGAGGGAGCCCTTCAAATTACATATTTACAGTGTACAATACAAATAATTGTTTTACCTAATTTTCCTGAAAAAAATTAGCCAAACAACTAATGGTTAACATGTGGTAATAGACTTTATATAAGATTTTACAATTCATGTACTGTATTTCAGAGTGCAATACAAATCATTTTCCCCTAATTTTCCTGAAGATTAAACCAAACAAACAATGGTTAACATGTGGAATGGACTTCACATTTAAATGAAAATCAGACAGAAATCCAAATATTATTCCGATTTATATCTTGTTATATTCTGTGCAGTTGCACGGCTTATCCTTAGCTTACTGGAGATCACTGAACCACTTGCTCCCAGGTCTTCCTAGGCCTTCCTCTACCTTTGGAACCCTCAACTTCCATCACCATATACTTCTTAACCCAGTTATTATTTATTCTTTCAACATGCCCATACCATCTCAGGTGGCCGTGTTATATAGCATCACTTATAGTTGGTAGGTTGAAACTGCTGAGCAGTTCTGTTGATGAATTTCTGTCCTGTAGGCTGACATGCGCCATCAAATGAAGCATGCACATATCTGTCCGACGCAGCCTAGAAATATCTGCCACCTTTACTGGCTATAGTTTCACTGCCATAGAGCATCACTGATCGAACACAGGCTTGGTATATTGGCTTTTGATTTCATTTTCTAATTGTTTGTTTCCAATATGAATTTCATTGTGTATCTATGTATAAATTTTTAGTGGGCCCTTGTAAATATTAATCAAATATCAATCTCTGTGTATAGACTTGGTTATTTCACAGATATAACCTAATAATGACTTGATATCATATATCACACATTTTATGGGGAGGTTGTAAATGCCAAAATATGTTTTATTGAAGTGATGAATAAGTTTATGAGTGGTTGTTAGTTTTAATAAACCAATTTTACTTTGAATTGTATTGATTATAAATGAAATGTGTATTATTCTTATAAACATAAACTGTCTTTGATGAGATAATAAACCTGAACAGTATAATTCTATATTTAAATTGCTTCCTTTGATATTTAAGTACGTCATAGTAGCTTTCAATTGAATTTAAAAATTTATAAAAAATAGACACATGAATCATTATACTCATCCATTGTTTGCATTATGCTGTTTAATACTATTAATAGGCTGGCAATTAATTTAAGGATTTTAGTAGTAAATAGTTGATAAATCACAATAAAATAAAAATTAAAAATTTACTTTACCATTATAAATTAACAATTCAAAATTTTAATTAATTTAATAATTTTTTTTAGATTAGATTTCTTTTTTTGAGATTTTACCAGGCAGTATATATCTGTAAAAAAAGAAAGAAAATGCTCTATTATTATATTTCAGCTAGAAGACAAGATACAATATAACTTGCAATACTGTACATTCCACAGAAATTTGTATTCATATCAAAATTATTTTCCAAATTGTATCAACCTCAAATTCTGAAGTTGTTGTTTAGGTACAGCACGTTTACCAAATTTTAAAATCGTACTACATTTAACTGAGGCAAAAAACTACAGTATCCCTGCCTGGCTTCATCCCAGTATCTAATTTGAGGTCTGGGGCAATAAAAACATCTTAACATGCATATTTACTGCCAATGGCTCGAGGAAATTGACCTGCTGGTGGTAAGCCTAGAAAATACGAATCTGACCTACAAATTATTATTGTATGTATGTGACATTTTCGGCCAGCCAATCCTTTAGTTCCTGTCGTATTGTCAGGACAAATTTCAAACTCCTGATTTTAATTTTTTCTATAATGAATTCCTACTTGGCATGGCATACACCATTTTAACACAGAGGGGACAAAATGTATGACTATAATAACGGCAATCATTTTCAAAGGATTCTAACTTCTCATATCAGTCACTTAATGGCCTCGGCTTTATTATAAAAGCTATTATATTACGCCAGACCAATGACAAAGAGTATATAGACAGAGGTGAAACTCCTATGGCACTATACATTTATTCAAGCCTTATTTACCTTCCCTTGTGTAAATTTCTTTTTCTTATATCCTGAAGCAATTAGTAGCAATTTAGCCTATTCACATAAACCACTGAAATACTGTCATCTTTATATTGGTTTACGCACAATATCGAATTACATACGTCTTGATTGAAGCTCTTTCGAAATTGGTTGAAAGGAGAATGAGTAGATGGATGAAGGGGTTTAGACTAGGTGGCGATGAAAAGGATTTAAAAAATACACACCTAGGCATGAAATATACACAGGTGTTGTGTATCTGTTTTTCAGCTACATGCTCTGGTTGGCTTCCTGTATTCTGTGTTTAACAATTGTCATTGGATGATGGGCAGTTGGCCATTTCAATGACAATTGATTTAATTGAAAAATAACAAGATATTTCTCAATTAAAGCTATGTCAATCTTGTCATTCTTAAGTTGTTTTGGTAAGAGAACTGAACACTCATTTTGACACGGGGTCTAACAGTTTCCAGCAGAGGCCAGTAGGGCTCTACAAATTAAGTTTTTTCTTATGTTGATGCTTAAGGGATGAAGTTGTATTTCATAGAAATGGATCCTGGTGTCAAAAGATTTGAATCCAAGGTCCTATGATTAGAATGTAAGCATCTTAACCACCAAGATACAGTATCATTTGATAAATAAGAATAAGTTCAACAACAAGAATTGTATGAGAATTAAATACCAAGGGTTTATTATCTATTAATTGGCAAAGAAAATGACTGTTAATTTGTATATGGTACTGTACAGAAACTGCCGAATCAAAACACTATACAAATATCTGTTTTAGAACTCTTTATGAGGCCCCCTATATCTTCCCCATTTTACATAACAAACTATTTGTCCACTTGTGAAAAGGCCAGCTTGACATTTAAAAGCACATGTTTTCTTTATTTTTTTTTTCATGCTTAGAATAGAACAGCCATTACGTCGTGATCGCTAGTCATCACACTGCCTTCCTTTCTGAGACCGAGCTTGAAACTTGGATGTAAAATGAATTTCATATTGAAAATATGTCCTTGGTTATTCACACATTAATTTTGAAGTAATCTACAGTAAGTGAAGTGATGGAAAATGTGATAATTAATGTCAAGGTTTATATCTATTACCTAACACAAATCCTTGATTCTTAATATATTTCTGCTTCACCTGCAGTTAGGTTCAATAAAAATGACTTGCATAGTGATTGGTCATTTTCTATTGAACATGATATTGATTGCTACACAAGGACGTACATGCGTTCTTATGACTTAAGTAAACTACTCTAATGCTGCTCTTATTATGACTACAGGAGGCCTGGTCTACAACGAATGTATTCCCTCAGAAAGTTATCATGTAGACAGAGATTCATTTTCCTAATCCATCAAGTGTTTTTGTAAATATTTTTATCATAATCTTACAAGCATTGTTAATTAACATCAGCAGTTAATGTGCACATTGAGTAATGCCATTGTCATAGCACGAATTCGATCCAACTCGGCCACAAGTCAACTCGGCCACAAGTCAACACGACCACAAATCAACTCGGCCACAAAAAGTTCGGCTGCAGTCAACTCGGCCACAAGTCAACTCGGCCACATAATTATACTGATTTCTGTGTTTTTTTTAAATTATTATTTACCTCTCTATCTTCAACTACAAGAAAAAGTCACTTGATGTGCCCATTATAATAAACTAACTATTATTTATACACCTTGGTCATGAATATTATATAGTTAACCATTGATACTAGCAACTATTGATGTTTGATAAACAGTGTAATAAGTTACAGGGTATGGGTGTGTTTATTCTTAATTTTCAGGTAAGAGCCATAAAGTTCAGCTCACTGTTGACCTTGAAGGCCTACCCCTTGATACTATTGATTTTTTTTCTTTCAATTGTTTGTGGAAGGAAGTATTAAGTTATACATCGACCAACACCATGGAATTATTGAATTCAACGTCATGAGATATTCATTTGGAAAAGTGAAGAGTCTATTATAGCATCGTTCATTTAGAAAGAAGGTCAGTGCCATTAAAGCTCTATTGAGTACAAAAGGGACATATGAATCTTAAGAATTAAGCAGAGCATTAAAGAGAAATAATTAAGCAAAATGTACATGCTGAGGACAATGTCCTCAGAAACGTCATTAAATCTCACATTTACAAGACATGCAAGGGCTATTACAACTCTAATTTATAATATTTCAATTTCAATAAAGCCTCCAAAAATGAGGAAACACAAATTTCACAATGAATGAATGAATGGATGAATGGATGGATGAATGAACGGATGCATGCAAGAATTAAGGGGCATGACTGAATTAATGAATAAATGAATGGATGGACAGATGAATGAATGAACTGATGGGGGAAGGAATGTGACACAATATCAGTGGTGGAACGGCTATGTGCTCTTGTGCGGCAGTCCGCAGGGCCCCGACCCCTAACCACATGGTCCTCGATCTAGCACCCTGACCCAAAAGGGCTTTGTTGATATTCAACAGCATGTGTCTCTGACATCAACTGTATATCATATTATATCCAGTGGCGAATTAAAGGGGGTCCCTAAATTTTAAGTGGGAAATGGCACTAACAGCCATTTAGAGGTGCCATAATCATACATTTTCAGCACCAACCATGGTGGGGCTGAGGTGGTATTGACCCTTTATCAGTGAAAGTCTCTTCCTGGGACCTATTAAACATTCCCGGATTCGCCACTCATATATCAATTGTTTTGTAGTTATAAACATTTAGAATGCAATGAAAAACAATTAAAAACAAGCACATCTGAAATCTCACAATGGATTTGGCGACTGGGACCCAAGAGGCCCCCACTCTCACAAAGTCAAAGGTCCCCCCCACCCCAATCATTACGCCACTGCACAA